AGAAGAACTTACGGTATGTAGCATTTAATTTTGTGTTGGTATGCGTCCATATATGTACTTGTTAATAACTTGTTTTACCATGGTGTAGATTATAGGGCAGTGGTCGTCGTCGTATGTGTTCGAATTTCATGTAAACAAACAATGTATATTATATGCATTGTGTATGTCGCTATGAGTCCCATATCAAACAGGACGTGGCGCGATGACCATCGCCATTTAAAGTTACATGGTTTGACATACACAACCATTTTGGAGGGTTAGGGTGTTGAATAAGTATACACTTGGTTTGAGGTTTGAAATATTGTTTAAATTATGTCAAACCATGCACTTTCATCCTGCCAGCCCCATGTACTTTTATATCGACTTCACCAGATGTTGGTTAATTAAAGGGCGGAAGTCGTCACGCCGCGCCCTGTTTGATATGGGACTCATAGCGTCGTATACAACGTGTGTAAAATACATTGTTTATTTATATGAAATTCGAACACGCGCTGCGTGACGACCACCACACTTTAATCTACAGAAATGTAAAAAAGTTTCTTCCAAGTATATGTGTTGATACATACTACTGTAAAATACTCTATTTAAGCTGGAATTAATTTTCTCTGAAAAGACTTTTTGGGTGTTCAGTGTGGAATTTATTTTCACTTATTTTCGAAGTGATGAATGTAAAACATAGGGAAAAAGGTATATTCACTGGATTTTATTTTCACTGAATCATGCCTTCAGCGAAAATTAATTCCAAGCAAAATTGAAGTATTTTACAGTATGCACTGTGGCTTGAATTTCATGGAAGAATCATGGGATTGATGCCCTAAATTTCCCTCTACTATTGTTATACACTGATACAATTCGATCAAATGTTGCTATGAAAATAGGCGCCCTTTCTACTCTGAGATTCAAACCCTACGTATATATGATGTCAATGTCAAATAAACATGGATGCCACTAAAAAAAAAAAAAAAAAAAAAGATTAAAAAATATCTAAAAAGAAATGCTATAAATATCTGTTAAAAATAAGGGATCTTAGACGAAAGTTTTTTACAAACTTATTTGTCAATTTTTATGTTTGGCTTGAATGATTTCTAAAAATTCAGAATTATTACAGGAAAGAGTGATCGTTTATAATAGACATGTCGATGGGTCGAAATGCAGTGATTAATCTAAAATAGTTGACAAGAGCCATAAAGACGTAATTTGACAAATAATTGTATTCGTGCAGTTTTGTATCACTGTGGTTGGCACGTTTATGTTGGACATAATCATAACACTGAACTGAAGACGATTTTAATAATGTCTGTAGTTGAACAACCTGTTGTTGTGTATCTATTTGTATAACCATTTTTCAGGTCAGCTTACAATAAGCTCAACCGATTTCTACGGCAAATCGTGGATAATGAATATTGTAAAATTGACTAAAATGTTGCCAACTATATACTATATATAAAGACAATACCTATTACAGCTTTGAATGTTGCTGACACTGGACGGAATTGAAGTAACACAACACGTTCACTTCTTGTTTTCTTTCGATGTCTTTCACTTAGCTGAGAAATGGCGAAATAATACTGCGCAAGCCATTGCGCAGGATCATTCCATAAATACTGAGAAGAATGAAATAGGGTGGACAATTTAATTCTGACCTCGTTTTTGGGAAGCTGGGAGTTAATGTATTTTGCCCCACAAAACTGTAATTTATAATCTTACAATGTAGTGAGCATAATTATAAAAAGCTGAACGAAATGTAACGCGCATCTAACCAAGGATTATCATGGTACGTCCATAAACATCCTTAACCATGCTACGGACAGATGAAGTAAATGAATCATCCCAATGTTTGTTTTTGTGGGAGCGCCCTCGCGTGTTTGCATGTCATATGCCACAATTATTTATTACCGGTATACGAGCATGTCCTGGATCAAAACACGACTTCAAAATTTACACACAAGACGATTAAGCAGTTGAAAATACCATAACAGTGCACTTAACATGTTTATGTTGATCACGATTATTTCGCCCTGATCAACACAGCGTGTACGTAGGGCTACTGTTAGATGTGAATTCAGTGAGAGTCAACCTCAGTATTTATTAACAAAATGCTGGTCAGATATTGTTATGAAATATGCATAAAAATGGATACAAACTAGCAAATGATTCAATTTCTTGTAATTTTAGTATTTCAATCACAACGGGCAAAACCAATGCAAGAAATAATTCAATAAAATAAAATAGGAATTAGGCCAAGAATAATTTATTAATACACTTTTGTTGAGCGCCCAAATTAATCTGTCAGATTAATTTTCACCGGAATCTTCATAAATACAAGTATAGACAGTATAGTAGAACTAATACTGTACAGTATGATACAAGAAACATTTTAAATAGTAAAGTATTAAAACAAAACAAAAAGTAGTTCACATGGGCATGTTCTTATGGATAAAAACACACAGACTAGTTTCATAACAATGGATATTAGAAGTTCTCTTTAACTCTAATGGCATGGATTTCCATTGGTTGAGCAAAACGGTGACAAATTTCGCTTCGGGGATATACATAGTCGTATTTATGAACATATTGACAATATTACTGTATTAAAATGAATTTGTAAAACATCTTCTACTGGGAGAAAAATGACAGAATTTGTTGTAGGATGAAATATTTGACACGTCCAATATATGTCAATTCTGCTGTCACTCCAGATTATGCAAATTCCAGTCTTGTTTTCCTTACATAATTATCATTGTTTAGACTTATCTTCCTACAACAAAGTTAGCCAACAGTGGCTCACGGCGCCGTAGCCTGACAAGGTCGCGTGAGTTGCGTCCTCCGCGGTGCTCCAAACCCAACACAGTCTGATGCCATTCGACAGACTCATGTGAGTAGCGCCCTCTAGTGGCACGTCCGTCAATATAGATGACGCAATGCATACTTTTCTACTTTGAGGGAATATGGATTTGTTTTTCCACAAACTGTTCTGATCCATATTCATGATAAAATGGATAAATAAAAAGGGAAATAATAATCCAGTCATCAGATTTCACCATCTCCATCTTCGGCACATATCACCATGGTTGCAAAACCTTCTCATTATCTATCCTTTTGTTTTGTACACATGCACAAGATGTCAGGTTATAAAGAACTCACCGCTGGGGAACGCGGGCAGAATTCTTAAGTTTGCAATTATTGAGATGGTCAACAACAAAATAAAATCGAAGAAAGCTTAGAAAGAACTCTCATGTGCGAAGGGTATTAGAGGCATGAAGTATAAATAAGAAATAATGTATCAACTGTATCAACACGGCTCTAATTCGCATAAACCAACAATTGTATTTACTGCATGCAAAAACATTGAAGAGTCTTATATAGACATGTGGTGTGCTAGTTACATCTCTTGTCAAATGCCGTTGCTATAGGGATGATAGCATGTCATTATTTGCCGTAGTGCCATATCTCTCGTCAAATTATAGGACTCCATTGTAGGAGTAGTTGCATGTCCTTATCAGTGCTTGCGACATTAATTAATGTATATTAATGAGGTCATGTGATAGGTTCAGGTAGGTGATTAATATACATGGATTCCATCCCTGAATCAGATTTGTGGATTATCCAAATTCACCTATGTAACAAGGTTTTTTGGAATTTGATAAGCAGTACACAAGCTATCTGCGGAACACCTGTTAATTGTTAATTTATGCAAATTAGGTAATTAGTAAGCACATATTTTAACCCTCAGCTAAATATGTACATGGCTTAGCCCAAAGTACCTATGTACCAAGTTTCATTGAAATTTGATGAGTAGTTAAAATATTCATCAAAAAAAGCTAAATATTGGCTAATATACATGAGAAACAATAGAAAAATACAGGGTTTGTGCATACATTGACCCAGTTTCATTATATTTCATAATGATACTTGAAAAACAAGAAAAATGCTTACAATTGATTAATTGATATACCAATTAAGTAATTAATATTCAAAGATTACAACCAAAAACTAATTAGGTCTGTGCATTATCCTAGACCATCTATGTAACAAGTTTCATTGAAATCTGTTAAATAGTTCTTAAGAATAAAGTGTAAATGCATACAATTGGCTAATTAATATGCAAATTAGTGGATTAATATGACCAGATTTTAACCAAAAACTAATCAGGTCTGAGCATTATCCTAGAACATCTATGTACCAAGTTTAATTGAAATCAGATAATTATTTCTTGAGATATCAATGAAGCACACATACACGTCTTACCATCATTGTAACGACACACATTGGATTAACTGCATGATGATATAATTGCAATATGAAGTTGATTAAAACGTTCCTAAATAAATGTGATTAAATATTAGTATAAATTGTGAAAATAGTAAGGGTCGTCACTTGGTAGGTGTAAAATAAAAGTCATCACAATGTTGATACCACACACGCACACATACATGCACACGCACACACACACACACGCACACACACATGCACACGCACGCACACACACACGCGTGCACACCCACACGCGTGCACACGCACGCACACATACATGCACACGCACGCACACACACATGCACACACACACACAACACACGCACACACATGCACACGCACGCACACACACACACATGCGTGCACACACACATGCGTGCACACCCACACGCATGCACACCCACACACACATACATACATATACATACATACATACATACAAGTAGCAGAATAAGTCATTTAAAAAAAACATAGCGAAACAATTATACCCTAATCCATTGAAACCCGAGAAGTGTATGGACAACAACACACTAACAAAGTAATCCCTGTTTTTGCTTGGCAAAATCGAGTGCAATAGTAAAATAACAATGTAATAATAAAAAATATAATATTCCCCAACATACTGTATTAATCTCAGTCTCATAGGATAATACAACTTGAATTGTATCTTATAAAGTAACACAGCATGAATTGTTCCCAAATAATAGTACAGTAACATATTTAAGCAAAATAAATAACTAGCCAGATTTGAAAAGGGTGACGTTGTCACTTTTTTTATTCATACCCATAACATATCAGTTCACTACACTTATAAGTAATAGACAGAGTTGGGGAGCATATTACTAACATCTGGTTCTCATTATCAGCAGCCTGTCTTCATTCTGTCCACTTTTTTCTAGTCTAAAAATGTGTTATTTCAGTCAAATTTTAAAAATTGCACAAGCTAGTTACACCCAAATTGAAGTTGGTTGACATTTCATAGAGATCGATGCAATTCTCAAATTTGAAATTGGTCAGATAAAATTGTTTGTGTTATTGGAATACTATGAACAAATTTTACAAATTCAAATCCAGTGCAAAAATTGAAACTGGAAACTCAAGTCTTCTCAATCACCTGCTTTTGAGATCAACATTTTAAATTTGTTAAGCCATGCAAACCCTTAACTGTGTATAATGTTACTAAGAGTACTTTAAATGTTTCGTTTCTTGATTACGAGGATCGTCAGCTACGTACACGCAGGAAAAGAGTTCCAAGCGACGATAACAACACACCCTAAAAATACAAAGGCTCATGGGTGGACGCTTGTTTGTAAACAATGACACGCTATGGCCATCTGACATCAACTACCCATTATCTGACTTTAATGACATCATTAACTCAATTTTGTTTGAGCTAAAAAAAACAAAACAAAAAAACTCACATTCGCAGCTATCAAATGTATATATGACTAGAAATGATTCTAATTTCGAAGCTACCTCAGAAAAGAAAATATCTTTGTGCTAATGGTAACTTAGTCGCTGGTGGACATGTCAATAACGTTGTTTCTTCTGTGTCTCGATCTTTAACATGGACCTTGTAAGTTTCTGGATTAACTGAAATAGAAAGATATTATAAAGTTATTTTATCAACAAGCACTGTACCTAATGGTGACAGCGATAGTAATTAAAGAGGATAACAGTAATAATTAACCACATTTTTAAAATTTGAATGAATTTGTTAACATATTCTGTAAAATTCACTGAATTCAATCATAATTTTGAACCAAACT